TCCTTCACACAACTCACAGTCAACCTGTGTAACTCGTTGTCAGGGGATGTTGTGACAGCCAAAAGCATAATGGGGTTCAAAAGAGAATTAGATACTTTCATGGAGGATAGGTCCATCAATGGCTGTTTGCCAAGATGGGCAGGGATGCAACTCAATGCTCTGAGTGTCCCTAGCTCCTGACTGCCAGAAGCTAGGAGTGGACAATGGGTAATGGATCGCTCAATGATTGCATGTTCTGTTCATTCCATGTGAAACCCCTGGTATTAGCTACTGTCAGAAGGCAAGATATTGGGCTAGATGGAACATTGGTCTGACCCAGTATGGCCATTCTTATGAGATCATGTCATTGCATCATGCTTGTTATAAACAGGCCTATTTCTTGGATACACTAAAAAGGTCAGCATCCGTAGTTTAAAGGTAGAATTAAAAAGATCCCCCGAGAACAGAACAGAACCATATGTTGGGGATTGGTCCTGCTTTGAGCAGGGGGTTGGACTAGCTGACCTCCTGAGGTCCCTTCCAATCCTGATATTCTATGATTCTATGATTCATATATTGAAAGGGATGGTACCAGGGAAGGGACACTACAAGTACAAGTATAATAATAAGTTTGCCAAGAAAAGGGAGGGGAAGAGGGAGCTCCGTTGGCGTATGGAGCTAGGGGTTAGGAAAAGAAGGGGGTTTTATCGGCGTATAGAACTGTAGTTGTGGGAGGGGAAGAGGAAAACTCTATTGGCGTATACAAATAAGCCCAACTGGTGTGAAGGGGTTCGAAGTATGGTTAAACTCTATCGGCGTATAAAAATAGCCCAGTCAATGTAAAGGGCTTCAAAATATGCTTGCTTGTTTAGCCCCAATAAACCCATCAAATTGCCTGCAAACTGAACTCTGAACTGTTATTTTCCAGCAAACTAAAAACTAAAAGGGAAGAGGGAGCTGGACCCCCGTCAACACTGCACAGCAACAGTAGCTGCCTTTGATGCTTACTAGGCACAAACTACACAGTATCCACAGTGCCCTATAAAAATGGATATTTATTTTCACCGATCAGGAAAAATTGAGTATACAGTTTAAGACTCAAGGCTGATGTCAGCTTTTTCAGATGCATCTGTACTGAAAATGACGTAACCAGGGTAAACATTATAAAAATTAAACCTTAAAAGGTGAATGGCAATTTTTGGTTTCAAATATCCATACACTTTCAACTTTGATATTTCTCATCATCCACAGTCCAGAGTTCGATTAGTTAGTGAATGGAGTGAAGAGGTACTCCTAAGAGATATCATTGAAATATACTATGAATATTTGTGTTTTGACTAAGTCAGTCACATCTCACCTTTGCTGCGTCTTGATATTTGGATTTATAGTTTGTGCCATCACTCCAGGCGTAAGAACAATACAGATTTTCACATGCATTCAAAAATAATAATCCAAATTAATATGGGGGGAAAAACTACTCCCAAATCAGCCAAAGAAAAGAGAAAACTGGTACTGTCCCAATTCAGACCACTTCTTTAGAACAAAACAAAGTAAATAGTTCTTGCATTGTGCCCGGAAAGATGTCAAATTTGGGCTCTTTTAGACCAAAATTTGGGTCGGTGGTGTATGCATGTACATGTTTGATACTTTTGTTTATTTTGTTTTTAAGGCAAATGGTGCACCTATGCATAGCACAAGTTAGCACTAGAAAATCTATTTTTGTAGAGAATGAATAATTACTGTATGCAGGGCTGGTTTTGACAAGTTGCAGAAACTTTGATTTCAGGTGGCCCCAAGTTGAGAGGAGTCCTCAGGGGCCTGGGAAGAGAGGCTGTTTTGCCTATGTTCAACTCAGCTTCTCACTCCATACCTTACACAGTTTGATGTGTTGAAGTAATGTAAAGAACTATCCACCCAGATCTGCCCATTGGTTCAGATATGGAGCTGTCCAGGAGAAAGGAGAATCTATGCAACATGAACTTCATTTCCAGCACCCCTGTGCTAATCCGTGTCCAAGTACTAAGAGGAAATTAATCTTCCTGCTGGCTGCATTAACTTCTGCATAGCTCTGGTTGTGAAGGACAGGTGTGCTGCAGGTCTATCAGCTGTCCTATTGTGTATATTTTACGTTTAAAACAAACAAAAAAACACTTAAGTGCAGAGAGAGTCTGTACTTCTCAATCTTTTTTTCATTCAGATGCCGAAGTCCTTTTTCTGGCTGTCTCTGGTTAATTCTGGTAAGGAATTGTCCGCTAAGGAAGAGTCAGTGTGAAAGCACACAGTGTTTTGCAAGTGCGTAAAGGACAAAGCCCTTACTCTGAGGAACTCAAATCGAACTTGAACAAATTTAATATGTATTAAATTCAGATGCAAGATGGCATGTAAACTTTGTTAGTGATTGCATCAGATTTGTGAGGCTTCATGAATGATGTAGATTTTTATGGCAGGATTAAAAGGCTACAAAAGAAATTACTTGGTGTTAGGAATTATAAAGCTCTTCTAGTCAAAAGGGTCTTTAAAATCATTTTAAAATTGCAGTGTGGTAGAGACAAATGGAGAGGTTAGAGAGAACTGGACAGAGGGAAGGAGGAAAAATAGGAGAATAGGCAGAAATGAGAGTAGCTTTTGCCATGGTTGACTGTTGACTTTGAGCACATTGGATTCTGTTCATTTCACGGAGTCTCTTGCTGTCATTCCCAAGACTTTATTTGCTATATTTTGCACTTGAGCTAGGTGAGAAATTACTTAGATTCTGTTGTTGAGAAGGAGATGGCATTAATTGCCTAATTTGGCATTCATTCCGCAAACACAGTGGGAGAAGGGAGTCCCTATTTAGGATAGAGATTAGCCAACTCCAGGAGGCCTGGAACCTGGTCAGAAGCCTACTTGAAGTTACTGAGGGCTTTTTCATTGACTTCAATGAACTCTGAATCAGACATTTATAGCAGTATCTGCAGAAACAAATTTCTGTTAGATTGGTCAATAATACGGAAGGCAGATAATTGACTTTTCAAGATGATATGAATGAAATAAGCAAGAAGAATTGAAATCTTTTCGCTTAATATTTCAAGCAAAAAGAATGGCAGTGGATAAATTATGGCATTGGTGAAATGACTCATAGCAATTATAGCTAAACATGTCAATGGTATCTCATGCTATCAGCTATAATACATAACAATTGCATAGCATTTTACATCTTCAGAGTGCTGACAAGCATTAATGCCTGTAAAGAAAAGATGAGGTATGATGCATATATTCTGTTGTTGCCATTATTTAAGTTGTCTGTTTCATGGGGACAACTTGACTGACTTCCAAGGATGGAAGAAAAGTTGACTTCATCAGATAAAACTAAAAACTTCTCCAATTGAAGGTTAAATCAAAGAGAATCTCCTTGTAATGCAAAGCAACTCCCTGTAGAAAGTTTTCTCCGCTAAAATAATGGCCAACTGCCAGAGGAAAAAGAAATAAAAGCCTAACTGTATGTTTGTCCTTTGTGTTCTTTCCTTCTTTTAAAAGAGAATATCGATATATTAATGTGCACCATCATAAATAGTGATTATCATTAGGACAAACTATTAGACAATTCAAAGTAATGGGATCTACAAACTCCTTTCCCCTTCTCCTGTTCCCAGATCTCTGTATAATGTTACCTATGACAAAATGAATAAGGCTAGTATGAAAGCCAAAACACTCCTCCTCCTCTCCCTTCAAAACAAGAGTGCCCCAAAATGGTTTGTCACCGCCCTTTATTTTTTTACTAGATAGAATGTGAAGGCAAATTTACTGAAATAATTTGGAAAACTGTTTTGAAATGCGAATGTATAAATCTGAGACCTTCGAAATCCATTCACATGGTGTTGGTATTTAGTTTTATAAAGTGCCTTGAGCTTCAAATGGGTGTTCCAATCACAATAAATATTGTCAAAAATGCTTTTTTGTAAAATGCAATTCATACCTTACAAGGGTGCTCATTCTTCTGAGTTTGCATGGTAAATGGATCTATTTTAATTCATGTATATTTTTATGTATTGAAAAATAGAATGTGTTCAAATGTGATAATAGAATATCATTGAATATCAGGACCATTTTGAAACCTGGGTGTCTAAAATTAGGCATCCAAGTGGCATTTGTAGATCCTGTCAACTTCCATGGGTACTGAACTGAACATTTGGCAACTTATTTAGGTTCCTAATTATGGGTTTAGGTGCCTTGATTTAAGCTTTGAAGTTTGAAAATGTTGGTCAGATTTTTTTAGATCATTTTTATTAATCATTATCTCTTCACCAACAAATCAGCTGTATTTACTCATCGGTGTTAAGATTTTAGTACAAGATGATACTGATAGCAAGTTAAGATTTTCATAATTTTGAGCATAAAAAAGGTTGATGGCCTTGTGAGCAGGTAATGTTTTTTAACTTTAGTATATATTCTTGTGAGTGATTGTTGTAGAAAATAGTTTTGGAAAAGAATCTGCATTTTTGTGCTTACACAAATATCCTTTCCTCCCCTGAGAACATCCCCTGAGCTGTCTTTATTGATATTTGGAACTTGTGTTCATCTTGCCAGTGCAAATCTCCTTCAGAACTGAACAGTTAGAGTACGCAGGTTTACAGAAATGGTATTGTGTTTAGATAGTAATGGTGAATACTGAACTCCTGTGTCATTTTCTTATAGAGTAAATCTAATTTTTTTAAATGATTGAATTTCACAGGCTTAGTGAGCAGTATGTGACTTATTAGAAAACTGGACTGTTTTTCTTCAATAGTATTTAGATTTTTCAACTGGGGGCTGATCAAAAATAGCATATGTATCCTATTTCCAAATGATTGTTCTTAGTCAGTGTATATACAACTGTTGTCAGCCTATCCAGTACAATTTTGTAGTATTGCAGAGTTAAATGTAATTTAGCTTTTTATGTAACTTGAATTTTTTCCTATGATTATGAAACTGTGAACCTGTATATTAGACTGGATTAGTAATAAAACATCAGCATAATTTGATTCTGTTCCTTTTCTTCCTAGAATATTTTCCTTCTTGGATATTGTTACTTTGTGCCGATGTGCGCAAGTTTCTAAGGTAGAGTATTTGCTTTACTTGGGTCATTTTGTGCATTGGGAAGGACTATTTTATTAATTACCAGCAAAAAATGAGCTTTAGATTAGGCTCTTAGAAATCAAAGGGAATCTTACCGTTGACTTTGAGCAGTGGATAAGAAACTGAGCTCCCAATGCTGCAATCAGATATGCAGAATGAATCACTGTGTGTCTGGAGTTTTCTCTTAAGGGGTGGCGGGGTCGGGGCAAGAGATGTACAATGATACATGCTTTGTATCTGCAGAAAGAATTAGGCCTTTTTTGGCATAGTGGCATTTGCTATTTAAAGTTTGTGACTTTATAACACTATTTTTCAGAAGTATTTTGTGCTTAAAAGTCCATGTAGCTCTGTTAATATTCAACATATGTTTAAGAAGTGTATCCATGGTGTTTGCCAAATGCTGAAGGTATTAAGTAAATCTACTACTAATAGAGAAAACGGCACTCATGTGAAGACAATTGAAAAGGCATATCTAAATACATCTTTATGTTCATCTGGGTGGTTTTGCTTGAATTAAAATAAAATAGATTTTATTCTTACATGAAGTGTGTACAAAAACAAACCTTATATGCAACCAAACTACCATAGTGAACTTTTTTCTGTATTATTTCAAAAGGCAGGCTTTTAAATCTTCACTTCACTTTTTTTTTCAGTGAAATTCAAAAATTTTTTTTCTAATTCAGAACATAACTCTTTTATTCCTGCTTCCATCCCACCCTAAACTGTGATTTAATAAGCTAAGCAGCATCAATCTTGGTCAATAGCTCCAGCTAAAACCTAGGGTGCGGCAGAAAATAATGCTGATGAATCAGTAGGTGGTATTCTTCCCTCTGAGTCAGTATTGAACTGGTTGGGTAACCACGTGTCCCAGCAGTTTCTATTGAATAAGGAACGCCTTTTCACTTTCTAGCCGGAGCTGTTGTGTAGAGATGATGTGTGCTGTTTAACAGCTGCCATGTTTCACCCCAGTGGTGATGAAGAAATTTGTGTGCGTGTGCGTACTATATAATGAAATATGGTCCAATCCTGAGAGGGGCTGAATGCCTCCATTCCCATGAAAATAGGGGGGTTCAGAAGCCAGCATCTTGCAGAAGGCATTCTGCTCCTCTCAGGACTGAGCCAATAGTTTGTAAAGGTTATAAAGAATTTTGGAGTTGAAAACCTCTATATAAATACATTTATTTCAGCATTCCCAGCTCTTCCTTTTTATTCTTTGACTAGAAGCAGCTAAGTTTTAAATTCTTCTTCTTTACATACAGCTCTAATAAAAATAATTTATTGAACAATGAACTTACTAAAATTGCTTTAAATGATGAGGTTAAAATTCTGCCATTATACTGTGTATGCATGTGGCTTGCATTTAAGTCAATGTTCATGCACGTATCCATGGGCAGAATTTGGCCCTTACAGTCTGAAAACATGCAATCCCAGGATTTAAAAGAATCAGTCCAGCAAAATCTGTTTTTAGCAATCTACTTTTTCATAAGCCTCAATGCCTAAATTACTTTTGATTTACATACAAAATAATGCATTCTGAAGGAATACTTGTGTCATGTCTGTGATTTCAAGACACTCATACTATAGTGATGAGGGGAGGGCTATTAAGTACCTGATAGAGAAGATTTATTAAACATATGTATGTTTTTTCTAGGCATGGAATGTCTTGGCTCTGGATGGAAGTAACTGGCAAAGAATAGATCTTTTTAACTTTCAGACAGATATAGAGGTTAGTACTATAGTTTTTTTTTTTTTTGTCTTTACATTGGATGTTAAAAGGATAAACTGTCTTAATTATCCCAGAGACCTTATTCACAGTACAAATATCTCAGTCTTAAAATACAAGATGGTAATGCTGTGAAGGAACAGGTAGAAAAAGCAGATAATTGTATTTGTCTCACTTTTTACCTTGGAATTGTATCTGAGTTTTGATTTTCAGCTAAGTGACAAATAATTTATTTATTTTGGTTTAAGTAATTCATGTGCACACATTGTTCACAAAAGGTATGGGATTGACTGTTCTGGAGACTCAAGACTTCTGTTCATAAAACAGGTATCATACGGACAGTGAAAATGTCCCTCTAAGGTTCCTCAGTCTTGACTGAGACTCTCAGAATTACTTCTGGGAGTGAGAGGGTAGTTTAATTTCCATGTCTGTTGGCTCTCTGGCCTCTCAGCTGAGAGCGCCATTTACAGTACAGACCCGTTTACGCGCGGATGTCGGGAGTCAAGCCATCATGACCGCATGTTAACAGACTGTGGGTTAAGAGGGCCATGCTGAAAAAAGTGTCTCTGATTCACCTAGAAAAAAACGCTGTTGTTTTCTGCTCTTTCTGGCTCGCACTTTTTTTCTTTCTTATGAAGTCTGTCATTCGCCGCAGATGAATGATTTAGATATTTTCCACATTTTGTGCCTCCATAAATCTTACAACAGTTTCTACAGCACTAAGGGCTTCTGTGGGCGAAATTTTGACCTTTTCAACGACATCCTCGCCATCACTATTGTTGTCTGACGTAGTCTCGCAGCCCGTTAATATTTCTTCCTCGGACAGAAATTCTGAAGTTGTGCAATCTTCATCCATCTCCAGCCACTCAGAAATGATTTTCAGCAACGTATCCAAACTAAAATCTTTTATCATTTGAAAGAGAAGTTTACCGTTATCCTCTTTTGTCTGTGTGCATGTTTGTAGGACGTCTTCTTCCAAAAATCCTTCAAAGTCTGGCTCTGAATCAATGCCACTGCTGGAGTTTTCCGAGTCTGAGCCATCTTTGACAGAAAAGGCATCACTGAGAGCCTTCATCGTCCCAAACTTTTTTAACTAAATAAATAATTTCTTTCATGTTTAACGGTTTCAGGAATTCAGAAATGCCTGAAGATGTGCATGACACGATCGCCAAAATCAGTTCCTGTCGATAATTGTTTTTAAAATTCTGAATAATGCCCTGGTCTAAAGGTTGAATTTTTGATGTTGTGTTGAATGGTAGGTATAGCACTCAAATTTTTCCATCACTCGATACCAGTGATTTGGCTGGAGGATGGGCTGGACAATTGTCAAATGCAAAAGTGCTTTGGCTTCGAGTTTCTTCGATTGCAGATGCTTACAAACAGCTGGAACAAAGCTGTTGTGGAACCAGTCTTCGAAAATGTGTCTTGTCATCCAAGCATTTTTGCTGTTAGCATATATTACTGGCAGTTTGGCTCTGTTGAGGTGATTAAAGCAGCAAGGGTTATGACAGCGGCCAACGAGAAGAGGGGCAAGCGTATGGCTGCCCATCTTATTACTACAAAAAAGAAAGAGTCACACGATCTTTTATCTTCTTAAATCCAGCTGTTTTCTGTGTCTCGTAATTAAAGGCTAAAGTTTTATCAGGTAGCAGTTTTGCAAATAAAGCTGTTTCATCACAATTATAAAGTTCTTCTTCATGGTAGTCTTCGTTTTGTAAAATAGATTTTAACTCAGCAGGAAATGCGTTCGTGGCCGATTCATTGGCTGATCGGCTTTCTCCAGAAATCGATACCTGCACTATACCATGATGCTTTTTAAAACAAATTATAAACCCCTTGGTGGCTTGGAATGATTCATCCCCCGTTAAATTTCCAAATTTTGTTGCTTGGGCTTGAAGAATTGGCCCACTTAGCGGCATTCCTTTCAGCCTTTTCTGAGCAAACCAGGTGTGCATGGCTTTGTTTATTGTGGGTTTTGCTGAATAGTGCGCACATTTTTGCTTAAGCCCCGTGGCAGAATCGATATTTTGTACAAAGCCATTCAGTTTAGATTAGTTTTTTAGCCATCCTCGGAGAGTAGATTCGGCAATCTCAATATCTTTTGAAACTTTGACCTGGGTTTCTCCGCTATTTACTTGATCTATTGCAGCTAGCTTTTCTTCTACAGTGTAGGAACGCTGATGCTTGCCCTCTGCCATTATATTAGGCCTCCCCTTAAAATTTTCTAATGTATGTAACAAAAAAAGACCTCTTCTGAATGTTTTTAGTGTTGAGAGAAATTTAGGAACCAATCCTGTGGAAAATTACTTCACTGACACATTAATGGTATATTTACTGAGTCATATTAGGAATTAAAACCTAGAAGAAAATAGTCTCATTCTCCTCTGGCATTCTTGCCCCATATTTAAATTCGTCTTATATGAATAAAATCTATATGGTAATCATTGGATAAATTTTGCTAAACATTGTCCAAACATACAAAGCATAGAAATTCACTAATTTAACTTAGAGGTAAATTCTGTCAACAGCACTTTGAAACTTCATTGTCAGCTTCTTTTTGGTACTTTAAAAGCCAACAATAGATGTTGCTTATTAAGAGGATCTGTACTGAAGTGGAGAACAGATTCCAGAGCCTGCAAACATTTAAACATATCTGTACAGGTTGGGAGGGATTAACTGCTACTCCTGTTTATTTGCACATAGAAGGCTGAAAATATTTTTGTTTCTTATTTGCTGAGCAGTAATAAATGTATTTTAGAACTATGAACTTTCTATCTGATAAACGTATATGATGCTTGAAGATTCTGTTTTTTAGAAGGATAGTACTGGATTATTATGCTTTTGGTTTGGGACATACTTTTTTCATATGCTATAGTTTTTCTAATTCCTTGATTATATATATAATGGATTTGTACCATAACCTATGTGCTACAAGGCAGTATTGTGTTCTTGATGTGTCCTGGGACAACCATGTTATAACCTGGTCGCAGGATGTAGTTGATTTTCAGTATAGATTATCCCTTTATCATTTAGATTTAGAACAATACAGTGGCTGCTATACTTTGAATTTCAGCTCAATAGTAATTTAAATTTACCTTTTAATTCATTTATTCACTGTTTATCTAAGGCACACTAAAAAAACTTTTTAAAAGTAGTTTTAATAGAATATTAAACAGACACCCACCCAGGGCCAGTGATCTCAGAAGAAGAAATGCAGCTCTTTTGATGTCTTTCCATCTCAAAACAGCATCTGTTTGGATTACTGTGTTTGAGGACCACAAATTGCAAAGTCCCTGTACACACGATCTTTTTGCTCAGCATAACTTCACAATATGCCCTTGTTGGCATCATATACACCATCGAACAATATCAAAGACTTGAGTCTGCCATTGGGTTAAGATAGTACACTGTTTTTTAATGTATAAAACAAATATACATATTCCTCTTGTATACATAATACCAGAGGAAAAAAAATAGACTACCTTACCTTTATAAGCGTCTGTCTTAAGGATTTATCAATCTTATGCCAAAGAGTGTGTGCTGGGGTGTGGTGCTGAATGCTAGCTGGCGATGGTGAGGGAATTGCACTTTGCTGGTCTCATAAACAAACATCAGGAAAAAAGTAAATTTAAAATAATGCGCCAAAATACCTCATGTTTTATTCAGGGCGTTTAATTCTTAATACTGAAACTGCCTGTCTGTTTTTAAATACATTTGAAGACAGTGACGGATTAGCTACTGGGTCAACAGGGCCTGTTCCCAGGGGCCCCGGCCAATTGGGGGCTCCGGAAAAATGGGCTCACCTGCACCCCAACCCACTCAGCCTGTCTGGCGCTCCTGCCGGGAAGTGGGGGTAAGCCCCCTGTGCCCCAACCCTGCTCCCTGACAAGAGCGCAGTGCAGGTGGGGGAAGTCCCCGTGCCCCAACCCCACTCCTCGGCAGGAGCATTGGTTGGGCGGAGCAGGGCAAGTCCCCGTGCCCCAACCCTATTTCCCTGGTGGAGGGACTGCAGGCAGAAGGGGTGGGGAGGGGCCGCCACTTGCTCTGTCCCTGGGCCCCACAAAAGCTTAATTCACCTGTTTACAGATCATCACTGCAGCATAGTCTTTCAAAGGGGCCTTAATTCATCCTCTAAGCTTGTGCCAAGCAAATTGACTAAAACTGTGGAAAAGAATAGAATTATCAGACACGCAGCTGAACATGATATGTTGGGGAAGAGTCAGCACGGCTTTTGTAAAGGGAAATCATGCCTCACCAATCTATTAGAATTCTTTGACCTCTGTGAATTGAGCCTGCGGCGTATGGGAGCTACAAGGCCCCCCGCTGCCCGTGGTGCCTGGGAACTGTGCGGGCCCCAAGCTCCACGCCGCTGCATGTGGCGGGGTTGCCCCAGACTTCCCAGCCACCGTGGACGGCAGGGGTGTCCCGAACTTGGAGCCACAAGCAGTGGGGGACCCCCCCAAGGTGGTGTGGGGACCCCCCCAACTCCCCATTTTGTCATGCATGTTTTTAGTAAAAGTCACAGATAGGCCACGGGCTTCCATGAATTTTTCTTTATTGCCTGTGACCTGTCCATTACTTTTACTAAAAATATGCATGACAAAAACTTAGCCTTACTCATAAATAAGGATACATTTTAGTCACAGATATTTTTAGTAGAAGTCATGGACAGGTCACGGGCAGGAAACAAAAATTCATGGACCATGACCTGTCCATGACTTGTACTATATACCCCTAACTAAAACTTGGGCTAGGGGGCTGCGGGTGCTCTGGGGGAGCATCCAGGAGCTCCGCACGTTTTGGAGGAGGTGGCCCGGAACCACCTGCTGGTGCTGGGGGCGGGGGCAGGCTGCGGCATGCAGGCTGGGACCCCTGCTGGTGCTGGGAGGCATGGTTGGCAGGGCTGGCAGGTTCCCTGCCCAGCTCCATGCAGCTCCCTGGAAGCAGACAGCATGTCCCTGCAGCTCCTAGGGGGAGGGAAGGCTAGGGGAGCTCCATGTGCTGGCCCCGCCACAAGTGCCGTCTCCGCAGCTCCCGTTGGCTGGGAACTGCAGCCAAGGGGAGCTGCAGGGGCGGTGCCTGCAGGCAGGGGCAACATGCAGAGCCCCCTGACCCCTCCGCCTAGGAGCTGCAGGGACATGCTGGCCACTTCTGGGGAGCCCCTCCCCGAGGTAAGCATTGCCCCGAATCTCAAGCCCCTGCCCCTGCCCTGAGCCCCCTCCCACAGCCAAACTGCTGCTGCTGGCCCAGGGGCTGCCTGAGCCCCAGAGCCAGTCACACTGGCTGCTGCAGAAGTCACAGAGGTCATGGAATCCGTGACTTCCGTGACAGACACGCAGCCTTCCTCATAAATGTTCTGGAAAAGGGCATAAATAGGGAGGTGACGAAGTTTGAAGACAGTACAAAATTACTCCACATAATGCAGTGGTGGTGTAGCTGTGTTGATCCCAGGATATTGGAAAGGGAAGATGGGTGAGGTAATATATTTTATTGGACCAACTTCTGTTGGTGAGAGAAACAAGCTTTCAAGCTTACAGAGAACTCTTTTTCAGGTCTGGGAAACTGACTCAAAGTGTCACTGCCAAATACAAGTATTTGAACAGACTGTTTAGCATAAGCAGATAACTCACATTTCAAGGGATTATTCAAGGTGAAGAGGCCTGTTAACACTCCTCCATTTATAGGGAGGAAAGGGAAGGGGAGAGGAGAGACATAACTGGGGGTGGGAGTTGTTGGTGGGTTACAGTTTGTTGTAGTAAGTCATAAACCCAGTGTCTCTATTCCGTCTATGATTTTTAGTGTCTAGCAAAGTTATGAATTTAAGCTTTCAGGCTCATCTTTTGAAAGTGTTGTGCAGGTTTCCTTTTAGGATGAGGACTGATAGATCAGGTACAGAGTGATCACTTTATGAAAAGTGTTCACCCACAAGTGACAGTGTTTTTGTCTTTTATCAGTTTTCTGTGTGAGTTCATTTGAGAGCATAGTGATTGTCTGGTCTCACCCACATAGTTGCTATTGGGGCAGTTAGTGCCCTGGATGAGGTACACCAAATGCTTTGATAAGGATGTGTCGGACCCATGGATCTTGAAAGGTGTGTGTGGGGGGGATGGGGCTGTTGATCGTTGTAGCTGTGGAGATATGTCTGCAGGGTTTGCATCTGTTGTTCTGGCAGGGTGTGGTGCCACTTTGAGTTGATGTGTCCCTCTCTGGGTGGAGCTTGCTTCTGATGATGAGCTTGGAGAGATTAGGGGTTGTTTGAAGGCCATACTTGATGCAGACCCCATCCTGAAAGAAAATTTTCCCTGAACCCCCTCTTCTGAACTGTTCACCTTAGAAAAGAGACTAAGAGGGGATTTGCTAGAGGTCTATAAAATTAGAAATGGTGTGGAGGAAGTGTTGTTATCCCTTTACATAACCCCCCCCAAAAACAGGGGTCCCCCAATAAAATTCATATACATAAGGAAGTACTTCACACACTGCACAGTCAATCTGTTGAACTCGTTTCCAGAGGATATTGTGACGGTCAAGTTTAACTGGATTCAAAAAAGAATTAGAGAAGTTCATGAAGGGTATGTCCAATCAACAGCTATTAGCCAAGATGGTCAGGGATGCAACCCCATGTTGTGGGTGTCCCTAAACCTCTTGACAGCCAGAAGGTGGGAGTGGTCAACAAGGGATGGAATCACTAAATAATTGCCCTGTTCTGTTCGTTCCTTCTGAAGCATCTGGGCATTGGCCACTGTTAAAAAACAGGATAGTCCACTAGATCAATTAGTGGTCTGACCCAGTATGGCCATTCCGATGTTTTCTTGTCTAAGCTTTTGTGTATCCAGATTGGGTAGTTAGACATACCAGATTTGTGCAGACAAATACGGTTTTTACATATGCAAGTTTAGTCATGAAAATTCGTGTGCAAAATTTCAGGTAAGTCTTTAGAATATATTTTTGAAAGTTTGTCCCACAAGGCAGTAATTATAGCTAGTCGTGTTAAAAATCATGTGGATATATTTAAATTTGTAGATCCATAATCTATACTTTGAGGCCACTAATGAAGTGGGACTGTATTTCAAGAAGAACTATATGTTGCCTTTCTCTTATCTGAAAGATATTTTCAATACAGAATCAATAACTGATGCAACATATTTTTAATAACTTTCATCATGAGGCAACTTTTAGTATGAGGTTTATAATTCAATTTAAGCATTGTACACAATGAGCACTCTGGGGCCATGTCATTATGACCTGTTGGTTCACAACTCTGTGGCCAACCATATACAACGTAGTTGGTAATATTTTGAACATTCCTAAAACAGTTGGGTTTGGAAAATTTAAAATATATTTTTATTTGTGCATCTTTTAACTTTAGATTAAATCTGAAATATTATTGTTCTGGAGCTTTTTCTTCAATAATTACATGTTACAGTTGGCATTTGTGCATTTTCGTGGTTTATGTATCTACACTATATTCCGTTTATTTTGGTGATGTTTTTTCTTCTTTTCATTAGAGGTAATTAGCTTCAGTTAGGAAGCAGTTGTGACTAATCAGAGCCTAGATTAAAAAATCACAGCATCTCAGGAAGTGTATTATCAAATTTAGTTTGTCGTCTTTACTCTAGAAATCGTATAGAATTTAAACATTCTGTTACTTAACAATGAGAAATGATGCCTCATAATAGAGCAAAATGTTTTCACATAATGTTAGCCAGTACATTTGGATTAGCAGTGAATAATAAAATATTAAAAATACTGTATTTGGGGAAGTTGTGTGTTTGCCCGTATTTCAGTATAACTTCCTTTCAAGATAGAGAAGGAACATAAAACCTTTGTGTATTTGATCTGCTCTAATTTTAAAATGTTTTGTTTTTAAAAATGCTTTCTTTTCTTGTGCACTTAAATATACATTTGTTTAATAAATAAAATGATCAATTTTGTAATTATATTTATTTTGGCTTCTATAGTTATTAAAGTTTTAATTGCTCCCTTAAAATTATTCCACTTAGTAAGTACTTAGCAAAGTGGTGGTGTGGTCAACAATATATAATGCTTCTGCCTTTTGGTATAAACTAATGTAGGGTTCTCAAACTTCATTGCACCGCGACCCCCTTCTGACAATAAAAATTACTACACGACCCCAGGAGGGGGGGACCGAAGCCTGAGCCCACCCGAGCCCCAGCACCCCAGGCTGGGGGCCAAAGCTGAAGCTCTAGGGCTGCAGCCCTAGGCAGGCAGGGGGCCTGTAACCTGAGCCCCGCCATCCAGGGCTGAAGCCCTTGGGCTTTGGCCCTAGGCAGTGGGGCTTGGACTTCAGCCACAGGTGGTGGGGCTTGGGCTTGGGCTTCAGCCCTGGACTCCAGCAAGTCTAACAGCAGCCCATGCCCATTAAAACAGGGTTGAGACCCACTTTGGGATCCCAAACCACAGTTTGAGAACCGCTGAACTAATGTATCGCCCTCCTCCCCACTAAAAAAAAAAAATCAGGGTGGAAGAGAGGGGTGTAATACCATAATTCTCTTTAAGGGGCATTTTTTAACGGTAATGCTATTTTCAGTCTGCATGTTGAATCATACCATTCAGTTGAGAGACATGAATAAATAGTGTTCTGGAGCAAATGCCTGTAAGTTTAGAAATGCAGAGAGGTGTATAAAGTATGTGTATCTTTGAGGACTTAAACCTAAGCTTAGCAGTAATAATCAGATTTTGTAAACACAGGTGTGAGCCCCATAGTTAAGCTGACCTAACTCCCGCAGTAGATGCGGCTAGGTCAAAGGAAGGATTCTTCTGTCGACCTAGGAACTGCCGCTTGGAGAGGCGGATTAGCTACAGTGAAAAAATCCCTTCTGTTGCTGTAGGAAACGTTTACCATGTGGCATTACAGGAGCACAGCTGCAGTGCTGTAGTGTAGACAAGGTCTTAAATATATAATAACTCAATGAGATGACTAATGTGCATTAGTGTTTGCAGGATTGGGGCCTAAGTGTACAAATATCTGTTTCAAAAAACTTTGTTTCAGCAATATATTACCGTTGAGTTTTGCTGAAGCAAATAGTAGTTCTTTTCACCAGATTGCCTGAAGTCTCAGTCCAAAACCACTGAAGTGAGCGGGAGTTTGGCCATTTACTTCAATTGGAGTTGGTACAGATCTTTAGTGAGAAGTACTTTTTTCCTTACATACTTTAGAAATCTCCTTCTGGAGGAGGATGGCAGGGGTGGGAACTCAGCATTGAGATTTCGTATTTGTTTATAATATTAGGTGTGTCAAAACAGCATTTATTAAAACTTTACTTTTATATGGTTTAAGGGTCGTGTGGTGGAAAATATTTCCAAAAGGTGTGGTGGGTTCCTGAGACAGCTTAGTTTGAGAGGATGTCTTGGTGTTGGAGACTCCGCTTTGAAGTAAGTAATCTATCCACAACTTGATTTAGACATCTTTGTACAAATCTTTCTGACTTAATGTAATCACTCAATGTGAATTCCAGTTTGGGCAGAGAATAGTTAATATTTTCTTGAAATGAATTAAGTAATGAGAAGAGTGAGAGATCATTTTTAGTTTTCCCAGCTATTACTGATTTTGAATATTTTAAATGCTTAACAATGGAACATATTTCTGCTGACAAGTTGTTTGCACCTGGAAAAAAAAAAGTTTTCTGGAGTAAGTATTCAACAAATTCGTGGTGAACAGTTTATTTCTTTCCTTTTCATGACTAGTCTTAAAAGATAAACTGTGTTTTCTCAATAGAAGCCTTGTTGCTTTTAAATAGCTAAGCCATATATAGAACCAACCAAATTTTCTTTTCAACATAAAAAAAAGAGTTGGCAAGAAACAATGCATTCTTTTCAAAATGAAAAACCCATACTAGTAACAGAATTTCTTTATAAAGAGTAGGGGAAAAAACAAGAAGCAACCAATTTTTCTGTTTCAAATAGAACATGCTCTGCTTTGTAAAACAAAGTTATTGCTGGAATCAGTCAAAAATTTCCTATTTAAAATGAAAAATTATGTTGGAATCAATAAAAATATAAAACTTACAACAAAAATCATGTAGGAACAAAACAACGTCTTTTAAGGAAAAAAGCCATGTTTTATAAAAGGAAAGCTTGTTTTCCAGAGCATAAAAAGGAAAGGAAAAGACCAGTTAAACCTAACATTAATATTCTCTATGAAGATGTCTGGAAACTTTTTCAACCTTTACAACTGTTTTAAAAACTGAATAACTTTATAATTTACTAAAATATTCTCAAGAGGAAACCTTAGTTTTTCCTTATTTTTTTTTTCCAGTGAGAAGCTCTTATCCTTCTGGAATAACTTACTTTATGTCAATTACCTGCACTGTAACTTTGACATCTTAGTGTGCTTCCATTTGGATGAGCCGTGAGGCCCATAGCAGAGAAGTGAGATGGGCCATAATTTCATTTAAGAGTACTTAAATAACCTCACTGAGTCTCTTCAAATCCTGAGGCTGGTTTAGTCTTTTTTCAAATGTTGGGATTTGTTGAGAGAATCAGGTTCCCTACCATCCCCGCCCCTTCCCTGTTATGAATACTAACAGTGTTGACATTTATAACTGTTTATTTGTGGTTCAGATTACAGGCAGGTGCTGAAAAGATGTATGAGGTTATACAGATAAATTAAAGAAGTACACAGAATATTCATGAGCTCATTCAAGTAAATGATGCAAACAGGAAATAACAGAGAGTTAGATGACATGGTTTACATGCTGGTGGCCCGCGTACCCTAGTGTTTCCACAGTGACTACCATTGGTGGAGCTGCACTGGTGACTGCAACTAGTGGGAAAAGGAGTAGTCTGTATACACTCCAAGTCAGAGAAAATCCAGTAAATAGTAAGTGATCTAAGCTTTCTTTAGGGAAATAGTTAGGAAGTGCTGTTCTGTTTTCAGATCTGCTTTCTCACCCCTTTTGTTTTACCATGCTTATGTTAAAAATAATTCCCAGTCACTGAAAGAGGTGTCAGATGCATAAATATTGCTTAGTTGAGGTACCTGTATCCACACATGGGTTTTGCAGGACACAATTTTCCCAATAGGTTTACTATTCCTACAGTTTATTGCAGACTGGAGAAAATGTTGAGAGTAATCTACAGAAGTCTCGTTTGTCTCATAAATGTAAGTTTCCCTCCAGTAAATACTTAAACTTTGGAATAGCCGTTTTGACGATTCAAGTGGAAACTATCAACCATATAACTACCAGCTGTTTCTTCTCTCCCCCAACCCCCTTGTTTTCAATCCACATTGGAGAGCCAGCAACTATTACCAGCGGTGTGTGTAGTTGCATCTGTTAACCAAGGCAAAACTCCAGGCAGAGCTGTTCTTGTGTGTGTGCCTCCAACTGTGCCCATAAAATTAATAAAGTTGGAGGAAACCTAGATATAAAAATACTGTTCTCAAAGGCTGTGTAGCTGTACATTTTCTTTTCATCTGTGCAGTCTGATATTTATGTATTTCCTCCAGGTAATTAGGGTAATGTTCTATACAGGTTTTTAACACGATAGTGACAACAATCATCTTTACAATTCAGACCCAGCTGATGGTAGTACTTCATCCAGTTGCATATATTATAGTTTATGAATGACCAAAGTATAGGTCTAGGGGACCTACATGGATAATCCAGTAGCTTCAGGGCCTCATCCTGTAGACTGCTGGGCATCTTCACTTCCCTTTGACTTAGGAAGGATCGGCCCCTAATGTGACCCATTTGAGGATTCAGTAATACAACAGAAAAATGAGTGATCCTCTGCCCAGCGGCTTAACTAGAGTCAAATATCCAAATGTGGTGATACTTGCTCTCTCCTATTCCTGTTAATGTTTTGAGTTAATAGGTGTAAAGCAGGACAGATCTAGGAGACAACAGAAGTAGACTTCTCCCTAAAATCAAGTTTGAGGGAAAATGATAGGAACTACATTGGTTTTGCCAGTTAACAGAGACAAAAACTTACAAAAGAACTCTGGCAAAAGAAAGAAGCAGCCCCTGTGACAATTTGATCTGAAATTTACTTTGTGGCCCACATCTCAAGGTTGTTGGCTGTTTCTGTATTTTAGAAGAGGTTGAGGGGAGAGTGCGCTCTAGTGGCTCAATTATAACTTACTCCATATAAAATTTCATTAACTTTTTATTGCTGTTTTAGGACATTTGCACAGAACTGTAGAAACATTGAACATTTAAATCTAAACGGATGTACAAAAATTACTGACAGGTAGGTGAAAAGCTTTTTTCATGTGATAGTGAAATTTGAAAAGAGAAGTAGCTGAAGATATTTTTAGAGTGTCTGCTGTTTTGCAGCACGTGTTATAGCCTTAGCAAATTCTGTTCCAAGCTGAAACATCTGGATCTGACATCGTGTGTATCTATTACAAACAGCTCTTTGAAAGGTTTAAGGTAAGAATATTTATTCATGTTAAAAAACTATTTTGAAGAACATTTTACTGAAATCACAAATTTCTCAATATGTCTTGAAACTTAATACTATGTATCAGCCTCATATATGCACTATACCTAGCATTTCTAAAGATGTAATGTATAGTGCTTATGTGTGGTCTTTTCCCATGTCTTTTCTGTAGAGCCCTGACACAGTTCTCCATCATGAATTTGTAACACCATGTTTCATTTGGGTTTTTCACTGTTATCACCATTCTAAGGTTGGATTTAACTTTATGCATTTTTTTAAATTCTCCCAGTGAGGGTTGCAGAAATCTGGAACATTTGAATCTTTCCTGGTGTGATCAGATTACGAAGGATGGTATTGAAGCACTGGTGAAAGGGTGCAGTGGACTAAAAGCACTGTTTCTTAGAGGTTGCACACAGGTACATAACTGCTTGCGTGTCAAGATAATCCTTTAGGAGTACACTTTATATTTTGGTATTTTGAAAACCTCCCTGAATTTAGATGATGATGTTTTTGTTTTAGTGTCTTTTTGTTTTTAACACTATAAGGTGTGTACATTTGTAGTGCTTTTAACTTTTAATGTCTTTCTTGCTATTTTTTTTCATTAATACAGTTGGAAGACGAAGCACTGAAACACATTCAAAATCACTGTCGTGAACTTATAATCCTGAACTTGCAGTCATGCACAGTATGTATTTTAAGCTTTGAAAGAGTCCATTCTACTTTTATAGCACCTTTTATCTAAGGATCTCAAAATGTTTTTCAGACATTGATGAATTCAAGTCTTATGCTTTTGCATAGTTGGGACAGCACGTTTCTACAAGTCACAGAATATTTCAGTCACAGTGTTGATAAAATAGCTGAGTGGAACATGGCCTGTGCTGCCTGGAGGCCATAAACCAGCTGAATATTTCCACAGCTGAATGAAGATTTGGAACCTTTGGCTTTCCATTATTTTTAGTTGTAGATAGCTTTAGCTTTTAACTAGTAACTGGAATCAGTCAACTTCCATGGATTGTATACAATCAAAGTAACCATGCAGTCTTACTGATGTTATGTTATCCTGTTCTTCCAGGCCCCAAGCCCCAAAGTCTGTCATCTGTGGTCCATTTTTAATTGTAAGTTCTTTGGGCAGAGACCATGTCTATGAGGTGCTAAACACATTCTTGTGTGCTGGATAGTTTAAAAAAAAATATCTAGTAGCATTACAGCTGCTAGATTATGTCAGGACAGTCCTTGATAGCAGGAGAGAAAAGCATATATTCTCAACATAATGTTGCTCATTTACCTATGAATGGAAATTGCTGCTGTTTATCTAATTCAGTGCATCCCACACTGCACTGAAAATATATTTGTTTGATGGTATCATTTTATAAGCCTGATTTACTCCAATCTAACTCTGTAAGATGGGGGACGTCTCCTTTTTGCCTGAAATTTCTAATGGTTACTTTCAGAGAAGAGAACTGAAAAAAAAAAAAAAAAGAGAGAGAGAAACGGGAGGTGAATTGGCTCATCCGTTCTTTGGTTACAGAACTATGAAAAACTGTAGTTTTTTACTTTTGAAAAAGTTTTCTGCTGTTTATTGCAAGAGCATATCACAAAAACTACTTGGTCTGAAACCTTCAAATCTGTTTTATTCATTATTCCTCAATGAGTACTCCAGCATGGGACCATTTGTATTAAGGTTTGATGGGAAATTGTGGACTTATTAGATGCTAAAGTCTTAAATATCTTAGAACACTGCAAACATTATAAGCTATATTAGAAGTCTTGCAGTAGTTAAAAACTTTGTGAATGCAGAGCTTGTGCCTTCCATGAGATGAATGTCTAGGTTGTGACGGTGAGGCAATTTCCATTACAATCCTTACTTCTTTCAGTCTCTAACTTTCTTAAAAAACAGCAAAAACAACTTATCCATTTCTTCTTGAAGTTTTGCATGCTTATTTTCTTTAAAGGTCCAGGTTGGAAATGGAGCTTTTCTCCTTTTTTATTTGCCATATAAAGGAGGTCTGAACTTTTTTTTTCTGTTTGAATCTGATTTTGCTGCAGGACCTCTGGGAGGTCTCATAGTTGTTTATTGTGAACTCTAACATCTTAACTGAAGGGACAAGGGTATAGAAGCTTTTAACAATCTTTCTGCATCTAAAATGTTAGTCACATAATTAGATGTTACTACAACAAAACCCAAGAAGTCTGACTAAGAATCTGTCCCTCTCAGTTGCTCAGCTGCTAAACATTCAGTGTCTAAACTTTTGTGATATCACCGTTCCACTATTTCTTCAGCCTATATGGGATCTGAATTCAAACTCAAAAATAATTCAGTATTCTTTGGCAATCTGGCTTCTAAAATGGGACCCTCATAATTGATTTTTTTGTCCTCTGTAAGATTTAATGCATAGGACTATTTTTTAAGATTGGGTGGCTAATTTGACTATTTGAACTTCTGGAGTTCTGCAGAATGTAGAGATTCTTCAATTGCTGCTTGAAGAGTTGGGATAACCTTTCTAATCCAAGAGGTATGCTTCAAAGAACTTAAAAGCTTTGCATTCAAAAGCAGAATAAATAAAATTTATAAAACTAAATTTGATTGAATGAATATGCATTCACCACAAGTGTTTAGAAGCTTCATGGAATAGTTTCTAAGCTTCATAAATCAAATATCTTTAGTTCAAGTAGCATAATACATCCGCAGAGATTGTAAACCTCAGTAAGACAAATATTCTGATTCAAGGAATTAAGAAGCTTCACAAAACAATGGGCCAGATCCTGGGATGTGGCTAGCCTACATGGAGCACCAGTTTGGGGGCCTTACCTGGTCTTGATGTAGCTCTGTGCAGGCTGGTCCCTCAGCAACTGTTAGACTAGCTCAGTGGTCTCCAACCTTTCTACTCACAAGATCACTTTTTGAATTTAAGTGCAACCCAGGATCTACCCCGCCCCTTCCCTGAGGCCCTGCCCCACTCACTCCATCCTTTCCCTCTCCGTCACTCACTCTCCCCCCACCCTCACTCACTCAGTGGGCTGGGGCAGGGGGTTGGGGTTCAGGAGGGGGTGTGGGCTCTGCCCTGGGGTCAAGGGGTTCGGCATGTGGGAGGGGGCTCCAGACTGCGCCTGGGGCAGGGGGTTGGTGTGCAGGAGGGGATGAGGGGTGCAAGCTCTGGGAAGGAGTTTGGATTCAGGAAGAGGTACATGGCTCTGCACGCTGCCCCTCTCTGCAGGCACCATCCCCGCAGCTCCCATTGCTCATAGTTCCCCGTTCACGGCCAGTGGGAGCTGCGGGGGTGGTGCTTGCAGGCAGGAACAGCACACAGATTCCCCTGTCCCCTCTCTCCCCCGGGGCCGCAAGGGAGTGGGGCTGGGGCAGGCAGGGAGCCTGCCGTAGTGACAGCTCCGCTGCACTGCCGGACTTTTAGTGGCCAGAGATCGTGATTGACTGGGAGAGTCTCCAGGATGTACCAGTCGATTGTGATCGACTGGTTGGTGACAACTGGACTAGTCTGAATTCTGTGCTAACTTACACTAGGTTACAACAGCCACAGGGGGCCCCAAAGTGCTGCTGAAGATCCAGTGTAGTGCATGACATTCCATGCCCGCTCATCTTCTCTGCTGTATTAGTACTTGAAAGTATGAGTTTTATAAGAGCCCCTACGTTGACTCTGTCACTGGAAGATTACCTTTACAGTAGGGTAATTCTCCGTAAGCTGGTTGTCAATTTTGGGGCATATTGGACTGATGGTTTTGCACTGCTTTGAAGAATCTGGCTCAATAGCTTACTGCTATGAAGCATGTTCTCAGAGGTACTGGTGCAGCCTGTTGCTTACATGGTTCACAGGTTAGCACTATGGAGCTTACTAAACTCAGAAGTGCGATCCATCCCTAACAAGATTTGCAGGTTCATTTTTGTGGTTCTTGGAAGTTAGCATGGCATTGACTTGGTAATAAAGTGAACTGGCATTGCCCATGGAGATTATTATTATACCTCATATTCAAGAGGTATTGTATTCAGAATTTATATGGTCTGTGGATTGCAAACATCTTTATGAGCACTGTGGATTTAATTATGCTCTTTCATGAAAAGGAACTAGGTGCTGTGAAATCTTGGATAATTTCAGAGAGAGGGGGTTTGGTTTACAAATTAATGTAGGATTTAATGTATCCTTCTCCAGTGGTCACCGAGTCAAGTTCAATTATCTTCTTACTACTGTCACAATAATATCATTTTCAAAGACAAAAATAAGAAAAATTCTAGATCGTTGGCGCCAAGTAAAATAGTAGGAGCCATTCAGTCAAGAATTTAAGATATACGCTCTTGCCACAATGCCAGAAGGTGCAGGACCAATATTAAGTCTAAAATGGTTCAATATGTCTATCAAATTAAAATGGTTCAAGATGGAAACTCTAAAATCTATTCTCCTGTCTGTGGATCCAGGGGGATTTACATCAGGTGTAGCTATGAGGTGTACCTGTTTTTTAATCTGCTAGTATTCTGGAATCATGAAAACTGCTTCAGGTTTTCAGATGGGAAAATATAGTATATTACCAATGCATATCTTTCTGGGCTGTGCTAATCTAAGTTCCAAGACTGTTTTTTGGGGTGTTTTTGGTTTTGGGGTTTTTTTTTGCTACCTAAAGTAATGTTTGTGGTAGTGGTTAGCTTCAGAAATAAGGTCATATAAACATATCTAGATGATAGGCTCATAAAAACAATAAACACAGTCATCTCAAAAGGCAGGAGAAATCACTGTTTTCATCACATGGGAATGACAATCAAAAGAGGAATGAGCTTGTATTAACACAAAGGATAATTTATTTGGAAGATGTTAAGTTACCAAAGTAGGAAAAACACTTCTTTTAGACAGGAGGATCCAGAAGAACTGACACAATTCATCTTGTTTCTAAATATTATAATCTTTCATTGTGTCCTAGAAGACTATTCATATCATGCATGCAACTAGTATTGAGGAGCTGTTTTCAATTATGCCTGTTTCAGAAAATGACCATGCAAATTCAACAGCAGGCAATTCAGAACATAAGTTAGTTCTCTCTATCAGAGTGGCTAAACCAGAACACTATGATGAAAGATTAACTCAAAGGACAGGGAAATGAGAGGTCTAGGTTCTTTTCCTGGGTCTGCTGCAGGCTTCCTGGGTAATTTGGGGCAAATCTCTGTATTTCAACATACCTTCTGTAAAATGGGGATAAGGAATAGCTGCTGACCTGTAATTCTGTTTCTTTGAAGATACCATACTATAGGATTCCCACTCTTGGGTTTTGCATCCCCAGTGCAAGACAAGTGGTAATCACTGTTAGTTTTTGGCAGTCTGTGGCATTGGGCATGAGCCCCTCCCTCATCTTTCATTCTAACTGCTAGTGCCTCAACTCCCTCTAGACATTTCTTAGTTAATCCCTAAATTTGTGGGAAGGAAAAGCTCCCCTAAAAATACAAACTGCATGTGATGGTAAATTAAAATATTTACCATATGAAAACCATGCCAAGGATGGGAGAAAACCTAGCTTCACACTGCCTTAGAACAGAATCTCAAATCTACAAAAAGATGTGGGTGAGCAGGAATCCTATGTGGTGGTTGTCTCAAAGAAGCAGTGTGTGCTTTCCTGGTGTGTGATTTCCTGCTGATGTTTTGTGGATGAAAATAGACAACTTATCATGGTTGCACACTGTTGATCTGATGTCATATTGCATGGCTCTATTTTTATTCCTAGACAAATTACTTGATAGCAGGATAAACTTCAACCTTTTTTATTTGTTGCAGCAAATTTCAGATGAAGGCATTGTAAAAATTTGTAGAGGATGCCACAGACTTCAGTCACTGTGTGTTTCTGGTTGTAGCAACCTTACAGATGCTTCTCTCACAGCCCTTGGTCTAAACTGTCCGAGATTGAAGTGAGTATGTCACAATTTTTGTATTCCTCATTGGCCTGATCCTGGGAGATTAAGTTTCTCCTATGAAATTCTGAGCACCTTCAACTTCCATTGATTTCCATTGGAGTTAAGGGTGTTCAGCATCAGGGCAAAACCCCAACCCCTGCATATCATGTGAAAAGAGGAAAAAGAATTAAGTCACAGTTACTAACTGACTCTATATTACTTCATAGATATATACAAAGGATCCTCAGCTGCTGTGAGTTGTCATATGACAATTTCCATGAGCTGAGGATCTGTCCAATAGATACTACATTTTATGGCTCGGTATCTTCTTCTTTTGCCTTACAAATAGTACTGTAAATCATACCTGAAATACTTAACTAGAACTACACTAAGGTGACATTTTAGGTGTGTTTTGCCATTAGTATGCTATGCTGCCCAGCACTGTTAGACTTAAATGCACAATGGGCTAAATTGTCATCTATACCCAGTATCTGATGGGCACAGCTGAGGTGGGGTGGCTCAAAATGAAGCTAGTTGCAACTCCCTGATCCTCTGTCTTGTTCTTTCCTGGCACTAGTGTACTTAGAACAGCCTTTAGGTCCAATATGCCAGCCAAGAATAGCTACAGTATAGTAGCACTTGGGCTACACCTCTCCCTCCTTCAGATTGTAATGCCCTTACGCTGAGGGTTGCAGTGGGAATGGCACAGGTGTTGGCCGTGCCTGCCCTAAAGCCAGCTGGTGATTCTCCCACAATGGGACAATGCTCAGCTCTAGAGATGTTTTTGCTTTTGGCCCCTTTACACCACCAGAGCAACACAGAGGGTCTGGAACAAGGAAAATAATCTGGTTCAGTATATCTGAATTTATCTTCATAATGTTATTACTATAAGTAAATTATCTGCCAATTCAGAAATAATATAAATTTGCTGTTAACTTTTTATGTTATAGTGGTATTAGCTGCACTTTGCCCACTATATGAACCAAAATAATTTCATGTAACTCTTAATGCTAAGGAAACTTTCTCTAAAGGGTAAGTATTCACTATAGTTTCCTTTCCTTGGGTTCCCTACTTTTCTTAAAGTGATAAATGGTATTAAGAGTAATCTCAAGCCACAAACCTCTATGTGCATGTTAGGTGCTGCAATTATGGGCAGTTCCAACATAGATTTTATTTCACGAACCACGAAAATGCAGCCGTCTCAGGAGTGAAATATAGCTATTTGATAGTGTATGGTAACACTGCACAGTTAATCCTCATTTCTCAATATTTTGAAGAATCTGTTTAACACAGAAATGGATATCTGCCTCCACCCTAGTCATGAAGAAGATTTCTGTTATGGGGCAACTCAAAAGGAAAATATCTTACACTTTTAATTAAAGGTTGATTTTTTAATACAAAAATATTAAGCTTCTTAAGATGAAGTTAAAACCTTAATTATGACAGAAACAGATTCAAGAGTCATAACAGTTCTTAGGGATGCTGACCAATTAAACTTTAATTGTGGACCATTAAGGAAAATATATATATCAGTAAACTTTGTATCAAAAAGAATTCTGACAAACTATATTTGGATGCCAGTATTGTGTGTAATTACCATGCACATTCTGCCAAGTTCATTTTTAACCTGATCGGTAGGAAAAAAAAAGAGCTTTTGTTTAATTTACAAAGACTCTCCTCAAGTCAATGTCTGTATCTGATCCAAATTTGACTGCTTATGCAAATAGCTATGAGTGCTTATGCATGCTCTTGCTTCAGTCATAAGAGTATTTTCAAACTGGTTTGTCACACTCCTTAAAAAATCTAAACCCATTGCCACTAGTTAGGACAAATCTGAGTCTCTCTCTCTCTCTCTCTCTAACTGATGTCAGAAAAATATAGGTACTTTGAAATCATTCCTGGCTCACTTTCTAAGGCAAAGAAAGAGGCCTAAAATACCTATCAGACCCACACTCCTCCTTTCAAGGGAAAGACAACTCTCATGAGAAATCTCTCAAGAAAAATGTAAGGAAGCATCTAACGTGGGGCACCATAAAATGTACTGCTAGCTAAGCAAGCTTGATTTACTATCCTGTAGCTTGTTAGTCTCCCTCAGTGCCACAAGGGGACAGGCTTCAGCCATTTCTCATACAGTAACAAGATATTAGCAAGGAAAATGAATCTGACAAAATGAACCCCATAGATCCATCTCTCATCCAAAGTAAGGATAATGCAAATTGCCATAGACTGAGCTTCAAGACTATGTACTAAAATTGTACTGTATTAAAATGTTCATGTTGGGGAATCAACTGGAGATACAACTCCCTTCTTCTTTGTACCTCCTAAATGACATCTTTTCAAGAACTAGAAAACCTGCAGAAACTTTCTAACTCTCTTCCCAAAATTGGATCAGCTGATCTACTCACTGGCCAATTTAGGGGCAGGCCTTATAAGAATATTTGCTATCCAGAGATCAGTCTTACAACTCCGCATGCTGTTCCCAGGCTTTCTGCAGAATTACCATTTGTTAGTGCTCCCCTCTCCCCACTGTGTGGATCTCGTCTCTGGCACATGACAGATCAGATGTTAGAAGTTCAAAGCTCCACCTTACCAGCTGGTGCCACATAACTTCCTGCCCAATCCAGTGGCCAATAACTTCTAGCCAGTTTCCTTTCTTTCCATATAATGGTTCAGAGCTCCATTGAGCAGCTGCTCTATATTTAGTGCTTACCTGGTTAGATATCCTTTTCCACCTCTCTTCCCTCAGCTAAGTGCTGATATTCAATTTTTTTGTATTTTTTTTCTATTTTCTTTTAAAGAAAATGTTGGTATTTGTCTAAGTTCAGCTGGTTTGCTGATGTGACCCTGCACTAGTCTTCCATAATGCCTTTGTTTGGCTTGGCTTATCCAAGGTGACAGTTCAGGTTATTGTTAGTGGGTTTTTTCCCTCCAGTTCAAGTTGTCTTAACAGGAATGGAGAAACTCCACACTGACTTCCAGAGATGCCTCAACAGACAAAATGCCTGCCAACAGTGAACATGTCTGGTCTTTGTACTGCCTGAGGGATGATCATGACTTGCATGAGGTGTGGGATCTGCTGTAGGTTATCACTTTGAGCCATCAGATCCTCTGACAAGTGCTCTGGTCTCTGTAACCGGGCTCGGGCTCAGACTCACCGGCAGCGCCTCCTGCTGGTCATCTCAGGGAATTAACATTCCAGCCTCCGGAGCGCCCTTTTCAGGCCGGTGTCTCACCACCACTGCTGGCCCCCATGTCCCTCTCAGGACCCCGGTGCCCCCTTACCTGCTGCCCCCTGGCAGTACCCCCACAGTTCTGGGTCTCCCCCTCCCAGGGGAATCCCCTCCACTATCCCCATCTTGCCTCAGTCTTAGGCTACTGCCAGTCACCAACTAGCCCCTGCTTCCTGGGGCAGACTGCAGTATAAGCCACTCATCACAGGCGAGGGGTTTGGACCTGCTGCCTCTGCCTACCTGTGGCTGCCCTTGCAACTCCCTAATAGGTACCTAATAGGCCTTCCCAGGCCTGCAGCCTGGGGCTTTCCTAGGCCAGAGCTCCCCGGCTCCCTTGGCCTTTCCCCAGCCCTGCTCCAAACTAGGTCCTCTATTCAGGTCTCTGCAGCCAGGTCCCTCCCTCTCAGGGCTAGAGAGGGAGTTCCTCTGCTCCTGGCTTCCCTTACCTTTATAAGGCCCGCTGGTCCATTTGGGGCGTGGCACCCAGCTACGGCTGCTCTGCCAATCAGCCCAGCTTTTCCCCTGCCCCAGCCTTCTCCCAGGGCTGTTTTAGGCCCTTCCAGGCAGGAGCGGGTGGCCACCCCGCTACAGTCTCCTTCAGGGTTCCCCAGATGTCTGAAACTAGTTTGGTTTGTAAAGTCTGATGGAAGAAATTCTCAAGGAGAGCAGAGTTGAGTGTGACTGCATACAAGACTGGTACATCAAAGCAGAGCTATGATGAGCTGAAGGGCCCTGGTGGTGATTAACTCCAGTTCAGAGACTGAGGCATTGAAGCATCTTGGAAGCAGAGATAGAGTCATATGTCTTGGTGGGGAGGCACATTTAAATCCGCTTGATGCCTGTGTGCCAGGATGTCCTGGATCTCAGCTCTTTCCAGCTCCTCTCTGTTTGCAATTAATCTAGTTGCTGGGACCACCTCAAGAGGCTGGGAACAAAAATGTACTATGGTGATTAAACTCAGATCATGATTGCCAGTGCCTTGCTTCTTATTCACCCTCTTAGCATCTTATTTCTCTCTCTACTTTAGGAAAGAGTAAGGAATCCAATGAATCAGAAAGGTGCTTTGGCAATGCATGCACCCTCTCTTGAGGAGAAAGGGAAGAAAACAGTTAAAGTATTACCAACTCTGCAATACTTCTAAGTAGAAAATATCCTATGTACTTAATAGAGTAAAATCAGCATTCAATGATCTACTATACTTTAGCTGAAAAGGGGGGAATAGTTTGTGTTTCCTGTTCAACTGCATATGACAATGGCAGGTGTAGCCATATAGTGCTCTCTCTCACACACTTAGACCTTTCATTAACGGTTGTTAACCACCTATGATGAGCTGCTCAAGATCACAGAACATGGACTTAACAAGCCTATAAAGGATTGCTCATGGATGTTCAATATAGCCCTTTTGAGAGAAGAGGGTTCCTGTATTACAGAGAGTATTTACTCAGTGACCCTACACTGGGTAGACTTGGGAAGGAGATGAGATTCTGAGGCATTTCTGAGTAGTGCTTTATGGTTAGCACTTTGAAACACACAACTACTTAAACCTTACCTGTGTAAGGATTATTTAGAATGATCTCAGTCAAGAATTGTATTAATCATAAATGCATTCTGACACACACGTGACATTAGGCAGCCTTCAGTGATAGCTCTACTCTTACAAGGCAGTCATGGCTGCTCCCTATGCACTGCTATTCAGGTGTCATGAATGAATTAAAATTTCATCTATAATATTTATTTCCAAGTTGAGTTACAACTCTTTCCTCCCTCTGGTTTGTCTTACATAGC